TACCTACCTTCTTGTGGATGAGCAATAAAGGGTGCTCGATAAGGAGAGGCTTATGGCCTAACCCACCCCTTCTGTGTAAGCTCTCGCGGAGTTCATCTAACCTCCCAGGAGACGCTCTATAAATCCTACCCTTTGGGGCCTTACTTGTTGAAATAATTGCTATTGGCACGGTGAATCCTCCGACTTACTCTCCTCAGGGTTCATTCTGAAGGTCCTCAAATTCCTTGGTGACTTCCTCATCTCCTTAGGGACTTGAGTCCTTTACAAGACTCAATGTCTGGACGATCTCCCTTACCGCCAGTGAAGAAAGAGCTCCCCTTTGGCCTCCTTTCATTCTCCTCTCCTCTTGGTCTGGCAACTATCTATGGGGATCCCATCCATGCCTAGCACGGATGCTCAGAGGACAAGCCAACTACTACTAAGCCTCACCATCTCCTACTGCCATAACCTCAACGGGGGCTTTCTTGATGCAGTGCCAATCAGGAAGGTGAAATTGAAGGTTCACCATAGCCAAAGGTAAGTCTCCTTGTCGACTCTCACCTCCTTCCTCGTTCACTACTTCTACACCACCCTCACTTAACTCATGCCCATCACAGCCGTTGACTACGTCCCTCCATAGCCAAGCAACCCTCCCTCTTGCTCCTTCACTCTTCACAGCCATGGATGTCTTCTCTATCACCCTCAACTTCTCCATGTGCTCTGCCCCGCACTCTGTCACAGCGGAGCAACAGCATGACTGCCTGGTAATTCTGTAATTACTCATTTCACCGAATGATATACTATATGGTTTGTGGGCTCCTGTAGCTCTTGGCCAGGTACTTCCAGTGTCTACCCAACCTCCCCTTGGTGCACCTCCTGCTTTCTGGGACGAACTTCATTGCATTCCGTAATGCACCTCTGGGGTAACTACATTTGGGCCCTAAACCATCCTGGCCTGCTGGAAAGCCACAGGACCTTTCTAGGCAACTGAGGCACTTGAATATCCCTACTGGGTCCCTAACAAATTTGACTTTTTTCCCCCCGCCGAAGCTACTAACTCTGGTATGTCCTAAAACTAGATTTCAGCCCTCTCTCCGAGCCTACATGCATGCACTAACCATGAGGCATAGAACACAGCACGGAAAACAGATTTAGCACATAGACTCAGACTTGGGCCTTGGCACTTCGCAGACAAGCACTATGACTAGATTTCAGCCCTCTCCCTGAGCCGACATGCATGCACTAACCTACTAATCAGGCATAGAACATAGCACGGAAAACAGATTTAGCACATTGACTCAGACTTGGGCCTTGGCACTTCATAGACAAGCACACCGACACACATACAACATCAACAGGCACTGTTACATGCTGCGCCTGCAACAGGCTGCACGGGCCATTTTCAGGCCCGTGTTGTTTTCAGCCTTAAGGCCTGAAAACAAGGGCCTACAGGCCCCGTGTTGTTTTCAGCCTGAAAGCCTGAAAACAAGGGCCTACAGGCCCTGTGTCGTTTCAGGCTAAATCAGGGCCTTTCCGGCCCTGAGTATTTTCAGCCTGAACCTGAGGGCCATTTTCAGGCCCTCATCAGTTCGACCTGCCCTGAAACTCAGGCCCCAGACCAGGGTTTTAGCTCAGGCCATTTTTGGCGGATTTTCAAGACAACCTTTGTTCGAGCTTCAACCCCAGGGTCTGGCACGTTTTGGCATTGGCAAGAGCAGCCTCCTGGACGGGCCAGCACTATATAAGACTGGCCCGCCCTGCAGGCTGCAGGTAGTGGGGAGGCCACTCCTAGGTACTTCCCAGGCACTTCACGTGCAGGCAGGAGGCAGTCAGTAGTCTTCAGGATTCGGCAGCAGCACTCTGGAGGAGCGCTGCAGGAGTAGTGGTAGCGTTAGCAGTAGTCTCCAGCGCTGGGCGCTAGTAGCGTTAGGTGTAGTCTTCAGCGCTGGGCGCCATAGCTATAGTACTAGAGAGAGAGAGAGATTGGGCGGAGGCCAGGGATACTCACCTGCAGCGCCGTTGCTCCAGCTTCGTCTTCGAGGTACCTGCAGCACAGCGCCAACTTCACAGGTTAGTACCTGGCTCGTGAGAGAGAGAGAGAGTTCTTCTTCTTCCTCTTCTCAGTCCACCATCTCCTTCTCACCCTCTCACTGTCTGACTTCACTGCATCAGCAGACTACGAGAGAGAGAGAGAGAGAGAGAGAGAG